AAATATACAAAGAACTCTGATAACTCAATAATAAGAAAACAATGAGATGTTTAAAAGCCAACACTGCAAAAAAAAATTTTTTTAATAAGATAAAGAGGGCCAAAGACCTGAACACACAACTCACCAAAGCAGATACGCAGATGAAAGATAAGTTTCTAAAAAGATGGTCCACAGCATATGCCATGGAGGAAATGCAGGTGAAACAGCTGCATCTATCAGAACAGTCCAAATGCAAAATGCCAACTACACTAAGTGCTGGTGAGGATACAGGGTAACAGGAAATGCAGAATGGCACAGACATTTTGGAAGACAGTTTGGAGGGGTTTTTGTTTTTGTTCTGTTTGGGCCTTGTTCATACAAGACAAGTGCTCTACCACTAAGCTACAACCCCAGCCCACTTTATTTTATTTTGAGACAAGGTCTCACAAAATTGCCCTGGCTGGGTCAAACTTGTGATCCTCCTGCCTCAGCCTCCCAAGTATCAGGGATACAGATGTGTCACTGTACCCAGCTAGCACCAGTCTTACCATATGATCCGGCATCATGTTCTTTGGTATTCATTCACCCAAACTAATGGAAAGGTTTTATGCACATGGAAGCCTGCACAGTGGTGTTTATGTTTATAATTCCCAAAACTTGGAAGCAATGAAGATGTCCTTCAGTAGGTAAATGGATAAACAGCGATGCCTCCAGACAATGGAATATTATCCAGTACTAAAAAGAAATGAGCAGGGCCAGGGATGTAGCTCAGCAGCACCACACCTGCCTGCCAAGTTCAAGGTCCTGAGTTTGATTGCCAGTACCAAAAAAAAAAAAGAAAGAAATGAGCTACCTAGGCACACCTGGTGGTGCACGCCTTTAATCTCAGCTACTCAAGAGGCTTAATCAAGAGGAACACAAGTTCCAGGCCAGCCTGGGCAACTTAGGGAGAACAAGTTTCAAAACAAAATTAAAGGTGCTGCAGGTATAGCACAGTGCTAGACCACTTGCCTGGGTGCTAGCCCCAGTATCAGAAAAAAAGCTACAAAACCGCAAAAAGCTATGGAGGAAGCAAGTACGTAGTACTAAAAGAGAGAAGCCAAAAGGCTGCTACACTTGTATGACTCCAGCTACATAAAGTTAGTTGTTTTTTTTTTTACCCTTCGAGGGTTTGGGGGAAATGGAGTAAGAAGCAGGTGGAACCGAGAGGCTTTGAGGAGCAGGTAAATCACTCTGCAAGATACAGTGACCATGGACATCACGATTTCCTCACGCATCCATCCAGACCCACAGAAAGTAGCACGACAAGAGTAAGCCCTAAACTACGGCCTTTGAGGGACAGCCACATATCCTTGTTGATTTATGACTGTAACAAATGTACCAACTGCGCTGACTGGATGTGTTGGCACATGCCTATACATCATCCCAGCACTTGAGGGCATGAGCCAGGAGAATCTTGAGTTTGAGGCCAGCTTGAGCAACTTGAGCAACTTAATGAGACCCTGTCTGACATAAATAAATAAAAATACAAATGCACCCTACAGCCTAGGGACGCTGATGGTGGGTGCAGTCAGGGGAAGAGGGGAAGGGACAGGTGGGAATCTCTGTGCTCAGCACTCAACCTGGCTGTGACCCAAAACTGCTTTAAAAAAAAAAGCACACAGCCAGGCAGGTACTCCCATAATCCCAGCACTGGGGAGGCTGAGGCAGGAGGATCACTGTGAGTTCAAGGCCAGACTGGGCTACACAGCAAGAGAAAGAGAGAGGGAGGGAGGGAGAGAGGGAGGGAGAGGGAGGGAAAGGAAAGGAAAGGAAAGGAAGGAAGGAAGGAAGGAAGACAGACATTACAAATACACATATATTTGCTTTTGTTTGAGACAGGATCTCACTATGTAGCCCAGGCTGCCTTGAACTCATGATTCTCCTGCCTCAGCCTCCCAATTGCTGGGATTACAGACATGTGCCATGATGCCCAGTTTATATATTTCTAAATATATCTCTTTTTGGGGTGCTGGGGTTGCTCAGGCCTGTACGTGGTAGGCAAGTGTTCTACCACTGTAAATGTGTCCTTTCACCTAACTATATTGCGTGGTGTGTGTATGTATGTGTATTTATGTTTTCAGGGCAACTGGGAACAGGAACTTCCTTAGGGTTTTTCTCCAAGGACTACAGAGCCTGTGGCTTGCCCACACTGGCTTGGGTGGGCCCTGAGAGGCCCTGGCACCATCACCTTTGGTGGCGTCTGGTGTCCAGTGCCTAGGCACAGTGACCTGGGCTTGGCCAGGGGCCTCCGGCAGTAGAAGGGGCTTCCCATGCAGGCAGGTGTAGCTGACTTGCTCGGCTCCTTTTCATCCAGGGCCTCACTGCTGAGAGCTGCCTCTGGGGACTCTAACAGCAGCTGTGACTGTCCCCAGCCCCACCCAGCCCGCTGGAGCTATGGGCCACTGCTCCTGTGGTCACGGGGTCGGGGCCCCTCTGCACCTGCTCCCTGGAAACCCACCGAGGCTAGCGGGCTTCCTGACACAGGATCCTCTGGGGTCCCTAGTCTGTGTGCGGGGTGCTCTGGGGTTTTAAGTGCCCCCTTCTACTTTCCCAAATGCCGACAGTCACAGTTCCCTTTTCTGACCCAGCCACCACGTGACGCCCCTCTGTGTGGACGCCACCCTTCATCATGCCCTGAAGGTCACTCTCAGACACTTCCGCGCTGGTTCCTACTGCCAGCCACCTCCCCCGAAAGGGGACAGCACGTCCCTCTGTCCCTGCCCATCGCTCTGCCAGTCAGTCAGGGTGAGGCCAAGCGCCTTTGGGCTCCCGAACCTTGACCTTCGCAGGCCACCCCTCCTCTCCCTGCTTCCAAGCTCCAGGCATTCCCGGAGTCACACCCGCTTCCGGGACTTTCTAACAAAGGAGGAAGTGAGTGCTGGAGCAGCAGACAGGCCAGGCCTCTGCGCCCTCTCCCCATCACTCCTGGTAGGCAAAGGAGCAGATCTCTGGCACCCAAAGCCAGGACCCAGAGCAGCTCCTGCCCTGGAGCCCAAGGGCAGGTTGCCAAGGCAACAGGCCTGCAGGCTCTGCAACTCTCCGCTGTCAATTATTCAGGCTCATTATCCAGTCCTTCCCGCTTCCCAGAGCGCAGCGCGCAGTGAAGGCAGGAAGCCCACTCCGCTCTCAGCTCCTGCCCAGAGACCAATTAGGAGTTGTGGTCCTGTGTTCCTATGGGAGACACCCCCCGCCCTGCCCGTGCCAGGCAGCCCAACCTTGAGAACAGGGCAGGGCCCAGCTAACCCAGGAGGGTGGAGACCATCGCCAAGGGGCAGCAACTGGCTCCTCCTGCGTTTCCCGTCTGTTCCATTCAACACGATGCTTTTCCCTCCTGGGATTCCCAGAGCTTCAATTAAACCAGGCTTCTTGGCCATGTTTATGCACAGGAGCCTGCTGAGGGAACCCGAGCCCAGACCATCACTTCGGGGTGTGTCCTTTGTATTGCAACAGTGTAAAGGTCACCTATAAAAAGCTATTGAGTCCAGAATACCCTGGGTCCATGCTATTCCAATAAAGATTTCTTCCTGTGGTTCCTTCCAATCCAAATGCAAACATCACCCCCCTGGGCACTCTGTGACCACCCTGATGAGGACTGCTCACAGCACTATCTGCCTGTCTACACTTCATGATTCTCACTCCTTAGGATCACAGGAGACATTCAACAGGAGGCTGAGGCAGGAGGGTCCCACAGGCCTAGGAGTTCAAGGCCAGCCTAGGCAACATAACAAAAAACCAAAAGGAAACAGAGTGTGGAATGAATTGAGAGGGGACGTCATTTAAGTCTATAATTGTCCTAGGGCATAAAGAGGAACCGAAAGGATTTCTGTCGAGGACCATGTCTGCATGGAAGAGGCACATGAGGGAGTAGTGGGGACAGCGGAGTGTGACAGCGGCTCACTCTCACTTAGGGGACTTGACAACAGAAAGCAACACAAGCCGGGGTGGAGGTGTCCAGGAGCAGCCTGCCGGAGTGGCTGATCAGCTTGGAGACCCTCAAGGGGCCCCAGCGAGGATGGCCAGGCCCTGCCATCGGGAACTGCACATCCACTTCCGAAGGGAGCTGGAAATCCACGGGCAGGAGGCGTCCCCTGGGCCTGCCTCGTCCTGGGGGAAAGTGCAGCGGACACTGGACCTCACAGTGCTAGGCCTGGACTGGCTGTTTCTTCCTCTGTGCCCCACAGCGTGGCCTCGAGGTGCCAGGGCTGCCCTGCCCTCGCACGTGTGGAACCCCGGCACCTCCTGTGTCTCGCTGCTCCTGTGCTTTGGGACCATCATTAAATAAAATATTACATGAACACAAGCAGCCAGGGACAGGGCGTGGGGACACTCCATGCGTCCTAGGGCACACACACCTGGGGAATGCAGCACCGGGGAGACGGTGATGGGCACTCGCATCCCTGGGGTACAGGACCTCTTCCTAGGGCGAGTCAGGCCCAGGTGGCTGAGGACGAAGCCGGGCTCACCCCCGGTTGGGAGGCTTCCCAGGGCAGGCCTGAGGGACCCCCCAGGGTTCCCCCTTCCGTCCTCCACAGCCGCAAAGTCTGCAAGGCGGCGCCCCAGGGAAACGCCTCGAGTGGAGACGTGGGAAACGCAGGAACGCGGCCGCGACAGGCGGCCACGGCGCGGACAGGCGCGCGCGAGGCGCCAGAAGTTCTGTTCCTCGCAACTCCGAGAGTTGGCCGCGTACAAGATCCTTACTCGGGCACAGGGGAGAAGCGCGGGGGTCCTGTACAAGCCCCGGCCCGCAGGCCCCGCGCCCCGGCCCCCGCCCCTCCGCGTGGCCGCGGGACCG